AGATAGATGGCTTGAAGATAGGTAACTTAAGAATTGATAGAATATGTGAAGACGAAGTCGAATCTTGGAAAGAAACCGAAGAAAAGGTTCATTCATTTTTGCTACAAAAACTGGGTTTAAAGGACATTAAAATTGAACATGCACATCGTACTGGCCAAAAAAAAGTTGGACGTCCGAGGGTTATAGTTTTAAAACTTCAAAAATACAAAGACAAAGCTAAAATTTTAAAAGAATCAACTCGTCTCAGAGGAACAAACATTTATGTAAATGAAGTCTTTTCTTTTGAAACGGTTGCAATCAGAAGAAAATTGTTTGCGGAAGTAAAAGAACGACTTATAAATGGTGAGAATGTTTCGGTTCGTTACGATAAAATTATTTCTTTTAAAAATAATGTTTTTAAAAACGTTTTAAACAAATAGTCGAATTACACATTCTTAAAAAGAAAACTTAGTTAACCTAATTTTAATAACTATGGCTTTATTGAATAATTTTGAATCCATTACTTTTAATTTTTTTGAAGGAAACCGCTTTTTCTCTGATGAAAACATAGATCCAGATAATAATTTTTTTTGCGATACATTTACTAATTGTGCTTATTTTTATCCTAAAGAATTAGAAGGTTTTCTTTTTCAAAATGCAATTAAAAAAAGTGCAAATGGAATTAGAATTCTCCATCTCAATTTAAGATGTTTAAATCGAAATTTTGAAAAACTTTTAAATTTTTTAGAAGAAACAAAAAAATTTTTTAATATTATTTGTTTAACTGAAACATGGGTTACACAAAACGATTTTGAAAATAACTTTTATATTCTTCATTTTAAAATTATTTATCAAGAAAGAAAAACGAATAAACGGGGTGGAGGACTTCTAATTTATGTTCATGAAAATATCTTTTATATTATGAGAAACGATTTAAGCGTCTTCAATAAAGAAAATATAACAATTGAACTTTTACTTGAAAAAACTAAAAACATTATTCTAAGCTGTTGTTATCGACCACCTGACAGCATGAGCGAAAACCTAAGCATATTTTTACAACATATTGTGGAAACAAGTGACGCAGAAAAAAAAAAGTTTTGTAATTAGGGACTTTAATATGAATTGTTTTCTTTATAACGATGACCATAAAGTTATTATTAAATTTTTATGACACAATTTTTAAAACAGGGTACTGGGTCGCCCCATTAGGGTAACAATAAACTCGGCTACTCTAATAGATAATATCATTACAACAGACATTTTTAATAAAGGTATTCAAAAAGGTATCATAAAAACGATCATTTTCCTATATTCCTAATTTTAAACTCAAATTTAGAAAAAAATATCAACACCCCAATAGTTGTAAAAAAACGTATTTTCAAACAAAAAAATCTTGAACAATTTAAAGATTTGTTATCTTTACTTCATTGGAATCATATTGATTTTAATGACAATGCAAATAACATCTACAAAACAATTTTATAAAACATTGTTTTCTGTTTATGACGCTAATTTTCCAATTCTTGAAAAAATAATAAAAACAAATAAAAGCTGAAAAAGTCCCTGGATTATAATAGGGTTAAAAAAATAAGATAAACAAAAGTTATATATTAAATATCTAAAAACAAAAACACCTGTTAGCAAAAAAATATATAAAAGCTACAAATATCTATTTGAAAAAATATGTAAAAGCCTAAAAAGAAATTACTACTCAGAACTAATTAATAATTTAAAAACGCAGAGATTAAAGTTGATAACATTAGTTTATACAATCCAAGAGCCATATCTCAAGAATTTAATAAATTTTTTATTGGGATAGGTCCTTCTCTATTAAATAAGATTCCAAATATGACAACTTCTTCTAATGATTTTCTTGTACCTATGGATAATTGCATTTGTTCCGATGAGTTAACCTCAGAATTATCTTTTGAGGAATTTGAAGTAGCTTTGAATTCCTTGAAAAGAAACAAAGCAACAGGAGCAGATAAAATTAATGAAAATGTAATTATAGACTGTTTCGATATATTAAAACATGTTCTTTTCAAAGTTTTTAAAGCTTCTATTAACCAAGAAATATTTCCAGAACAATTAACATTTACTAAAAATACTCCTATCTTTAAAGAGGGTGACAGATTGAATATTAGCAACTATCGTCCCATCTCTGTTCTTTCGGTATTTTCAAAAATTTTAGAAAGAAAAATGTCTAATAGAATATACAAACATCTCAACAAAAATAACTTACTATATAACAAACAATTTGGCTTTAAAAAAGCTGAATTGTTTGTTATATAGTATATTAAACTTAAATATTATGGAACTAGAGGTACTGCTTTAAAATGGTTTAGAAGCTAATTAACAAAAAGAAAGCAATTTGTAATTAGTAACGTTGATTATCAAAATAATTATCTTGATGATGTATGCGGTGTTCCTCAAGGTTCAATCCTCGGATTCCTACTTTTCCGGATATATAAATGATTTGAATAAAGCTTCCAACCTTATAAGTATCATGTACGCAGATGATACCAACCTATTCCTCTCAAGCAGTAATATATATGAACTTTTTACCACTACGAATAAAGAACTAAAACAAATATCAAATTGGTTAAAATGTAATAAGCTAATTTTAAATATTAATAAAACCAAATGAACTCTATTCCATTTGTATGCAAAAAAGCGATTATTACCAACAAACTTGCCACAACTTTATATAGACGAAATTGAAATAAAAAATGATTTTGTTACAAAATTCTTAGGTGTTTATCTTGATAAAAACATCTCCTGGAATCAACACATTAATTATGTTACTACTAAAATTTCAAAAAACATCGGGATTCTATATAAAGCTCGTAACTGCCTTAATAAAAATTGCTTAAACTTTATTACTCTTTTATCCACAGTTACATAACACTAACACTGCTTGGGGGAGTACTGTTAACAGTAAATTAAAACTTCTTTATCGTCATCAAAAACATGCAATCCGCATAATTAATGCTGATCATTTTACACATACAAAACCTATTTTTACTGAAATAAGATTATTAAATTTATTTGAACTCAATGTATTTAAAGATTTATGTTTTGTATATTTATGGAGAATTATTTATCCCCTATTGCTTTGAATATTATTTTCAAACTCAAACCTAACAACAAATACGAAATAAGTAACATTAATTTTTTAAATAAGCCATTTTGTGACACAAAATTTAATCAATTTTGCATTGCTTATTGTTCTGCGAAATCTCGATCAACCATCTTCCTTAGCTAGCTTTATCTTAAAAATTTTTTCACTTGATAATATACTTAGATACTTCTGATATTTTCAAAATTGTTATTTAACTTGGGTTTATACTCTATTTTTATTTTTTAATTTTACTTTATTTTTTGTATGTTATACTTGTCTTTATTTTGCTTGCTTGTATTTTATAAGGTTCTGACAACAAGTTCTTGTGATCTTCTTTCAGATCTTAGCTTATGTTTAACTGTTAGCAATTTATATATATGCGCATCTATACATCTGTAAGTGTATATATGCTTGTATTTATATATGTGAGTGTTTTTCTTATTTTAACTATACTGCTATTGGAATTCTTTTAATTGTAACACCATATATATGGCATATAATTGTACTGTGACACTTTAATGTAAGCGAAATAATAATAAAAAAAAATTATTATTGTTTTTATTATAATTGCTATTGTTATTGTTAATTATTATTACTTATTATTTTCAGAAAAATCCTACTAGGATTCAAATATTCTGATGTTTACTTACATCCTATTAAAACGATTAAACTTATGAAATAAGTGAATATTTGTAAAAAAAAACAACGATTTTACTTATTCCTAATCTCAAATTTTTTCTTTCATATCAAAACTTGCAAAAGTTTTTATTAATTATTAGTTTATCAAAGATTTTGTTTTACTTTATACCATGTCTTGTATTATGTGAATAAAAATAAATACGGAAGTTAATGTTTATGTACTTACATGGAAGGGACTTGTAAGATTTTTTGTGATTACAATAGGCATAAATGGATCAAAGCTGCTACTCTGCAATTGACCATATATAACATAAGGATCATCAATTACATTTCCATTAGCATCATTGAAAGTGACATCTAGAACCAAGGAAAATTTTAATTAAATTGAAAGAATAATTATAATTTATTAAGTTTAAATCTTTCTTATTCAAAAATTAGCACTTGTTTCTATAAAAAAAAATTTGAAACATTAAAACATTTTAAAATTTTTTAGTTTTAACTTGATTATTTTACCAATTAAATTAATAAGCAGAAAAAAGCCTCTATTTAAATTTACTGAATTTTCAAAATAACTTTCCAATTACAAAAACATATTTAATTATATTCAAACTGCACTGTTCCTTAATATTAAAATTAATTAATTCAAGATTTTTTGCAATTTTTAATCGAAACTTCAAAAATTTCCTAATAAACAAAAAACATTTTTTACACTTTAACAATTGTTCAATTCAATATAATTTAAATATATCAGAAAAAAAGTTCTATAAAATAAATAACCACAGGAGTTGTGAAATGCCAGTTTGAAATAGATATTACAGATTTATCTAGGTTGAGAACCTGGGAAATACTTTCATTGTTCCATAGGCTTTTGCACAGACATGTTTTTATTTTTATAAAACTTCTGATAACAAAGTAAATCATACATGGAAATCAAAAATCAATAAAAAAATTGAGAATTTGAATTTTGACACAAAAATATCAAAACGTAAACTTTAACAATAGTTTAAAAATTAGAACATAATAATTAAAAAAAATTAAAACAACAAAAAAAGAAACAAATAAACTGCAAATATTTTTATACATAAGAAACAAAGTCAAGCATCATTAAGATATTTACAAGACAACTGCTATTGCATTTCGATGTTTTCAAAAAAAAGATAAAAAAGATGTTGGGTAAAAATTAAACATATTTAATTTAAATAAAATGTTGTCTTTAATAGTTTCTTTTTTAAAGTTACTTGATTATAATTATTTACAAATTGTCAAATAATTACCATATCTAAAAAATTACAAAACAATAAAAATTTATTATTTATTTCATTTAAATGTTAATCAGTTTGATAATTTTCACAAAATCTGATATGCTGGTCTATGGCTCTTATTAAATAGCACAGTAAAGAAAATTTTTTGAAATTAAAAACTTTTTGCTTACTTCTACACCCTCATAAATCTATACTGCAACCCTTTAACTCCGAAATCTTGACAAACAAGGCCATTACACAGAGAAACAAGTTGAAAATAGCACAACCAGGAACAGAGTAAGCATTGAATACATTCTCTACCACATTAAATGACATTAAAAATTATTTTATAGAATTAAAATTATCATCTATAAATAATAATTACTTTTATTTCTAGTAACCTCTTGGATAGTTTCATATTTTCTACATTAGTAATCTTTTAGATAAAGTGGCAGTTAACGCAATCATATATTCTAGTCTTGATCATTATTCTAGTCTTAATCGAATTCATAACTTTTCAATTGCTTGATACAGACAATCTTAAATGTGATTCCCCCTAGTTATTATCTAACTCACTGCAAAATCTGCTTAGCTGGCATCTTTTTATGAACCCTTGCTATTTTCTTACTTTTGACTCAGCTCTCTACATTTATATATCTGTTATCTAACTTTAAAGAGATAATTATTATATTTAGAATTGGGCCTTCTAATAATAATCTTTCTTTTTTAAACAAAAACATATTGCAATCCAAGTAGTATTGCTCTAGCAGTCAAATTTAAGCCTTTTTCAATATATAATGTTGTGTCTTCCAATATTTCAAAGTTTCTTGGAAGAAATCATCTTTTATTCAGAAAAATTAAAATTAAAAACTAAATTTTTTTTTCCAAAGTAGACAATGAAAAAAGTCTGTAGCTTTGTTTCCTCTATACTTTTACACACTTAAACACATGGAAGAGTTTAGATACTAATTATTTTTGTTTATTTAATCTTAATGATAAAAATATAACTATATATATAACTATAAAATATTTAATTATTTCTATTTACTGGTTAACAGTTCGTAGAAATAGAGTAAATATTTTATAAATAATATGTTTGTTTATGTTGTTTTTTTTTTCAAACATCTTCACTTCAAACAAAGCTGAAAGCAACCACTATTAAAGTTGGAAGTTACTAGAAGAGAAAAGATGAAATTTATAAAACAAGATAACAATTTACAGACAACTTAAAAGATTGCTAATTATAGAAATCAGGAAAACAAGAGAGCAAATTTCATCTAATATTCGAGGAAAAAAACTAAACAAATAAGAATGTTTGGAGCTCTTAGTAACAGCCACAGTTAAAGGATGAGACTAAATTGAATGATGAGTAACACATAAATGAGTTTCAGTAGATGGCACAGGAGACGCTAGCTCTCTAGGGCAGCACCCATTATAGTATTTATAGAAAAGAAAAAGAGAAGCAACATTATGATGATGAGAAAAGTTGGTTGCAAGAGCAGGTCTAACTATGTTTACAATGCATTTTTGCACCTTCTCAAAGATCCGCTTCAGATGGCAACAGTATTCCATACAAGGACAGATTTGATTTATAGAGGAAAATCTGAAGTAAGAGAGTGGTGAGCATGATCAGATATGCAACTTTAGCAGATGCTAATTTTGCAATTGATTTGATATGGTTTCCAAGAAAAGAAGAGTTATAATTTGAAGACGAAGGGTAGATGACTCATCAAGTATATTACTGTTTATAAATATAGGAAGATTTAGATTATTGTTATAACAATTAGCTGAAAAAACTGAGTTCTATGTTAGTAAAAGTTCACCAGCCACTGAGAGCTTCATGCTGTAGCAGAGGTAAGATCATAGTCACTGACACTAGAGCCATGCTACTTAGTGTGATATCTATAAAAGTCACTAACAATATCAATATTGGCTGTAGAATCAAAAACTTGGTCAGTTTGATCAGAAATGACATTGAAAAGAATGCAGTCTTGAGATGAAGGAGAGCGATATAAAACAAAGAGAAAGGCGATAGAGTGATGTAATGCTCAACGAAAGCACATAAAAGAATAGTCTGTGGATTCAAACCTAGTTTCTCAACGAAGAGGTGAATTCTCACAAATGTAAATGCCCAGACCAAGCATTTGACTATTGGAGTCTTTACACATTAAAGGAGGATAGCCATCAACACTAAGATCACAAGATTGGACAGCTGAACTCAAATTAGTCTTACAAAGAGCAAGTAGGTAAACGGGAACTTTACTTTTAAAATTTTTTAGAATATTTTAATAATAAAATAAAATAAAATAATAAAAAATATTTTAAAATTTTTTCAATTTTGCTTATATATTTATAGCAATAAAATAATAATATAGCAAAAAAGATTTATAAAATTTAAAATAAACTTTGAAAATTTTCTCATTTAATAGATATTATATGCGATTATTCCATATAACATAGTCATAAAAAAAAAGTTGATTCTTTAGATTATGATAAAAAACTAAAGAATAATATTAAACGCTAATCTAAAAGTTAGGCCAAAAATTTTTTATTGACTTCAGTTTGTGACAAAATAAACCTTTATGCGTCAAGTTTCCTTTTGCATTTATCTTACATTTTTTGATTTACTTTAATTATGTTATAAACAATATGTATAAACAAATAACATATTTTTTTATATATATTGTTCATATAAGGATGGTTAAGCACAACAAAGCTTAAAAAAAATTAGTTTATATTAAAAAATTATTTATATTATGTTACTTTGCTATGTACTATACTTAAAATTTTCAAGTGCACTGAACTGCAATTACTTTTAATTTTTTTGGTTTAGTGGCTTTTGTTAGGAGCTTTTATATTTTGCTTTTATATTTAATGTTATTGTATACATATTTTTAAAAAGTTCTGAAAAATGCATTAAAATTATTTGTTTCAAACAAAGTTTTACAAAGAGTTTCTCCTAATAATTTTCTTTTAGTTGCGTTTTTCTTGTAATAAGCATACTAAGGAGTTTTGAAAAACAGCTGCAGCATATATTTGTAGTAAAAAAATAAATGTAACAAAAAAACTTTTAATTATCAAAAAAAAAAAATTTTTTTCTAAAGTAGACAGTGAAACCACAGCAAAACCTTCTGGAGTAGCAGGACTGTCTTATTAAGATTTTTCTTTATTAAGTTTCAGACAATATTTTTTCAGACAATCTGCAACTTATTAGGACTAATTACCTGAGCACATTAACGACATAAGTATCTCAATCATAACACATACGCAACAAATATTTTCTTCCAGTGTTTTGATGCTTTTAGAATTTTTAGCTTTTTTAAAAAATTTTTTGTTTGTTAGTGTATAATACCGTTACATATGTTTGCACATAATCTCTATAAAACTTCAAAAGGATTTTGTATTTTAAAATAACTTTAAAAAATTAAAAATAAAAGTCACTAGTGGTAGGACTCAAATCACGGCTTTTTTGTTGAGAAACTCTGTGCGGTATCCACTCGACCATGCTGACACATTGATAAACGAAAATTTTTAAAACTATATAATAGTTTTTTTTAACGGAAATAAATGCTACAGATCAAAATTAAGCAGATTTTGCTGCAATGCAGTTTTTGTTTGTCAAACTGTAAAACTTGATACATGTTTTAATATGATTTAACATTACATAATTTCAAGTTTACATAAGTAAGATATTTACATACACTTTTGTTCACATTTTCTTGTAATAAAAGTACAGTAACTCTTTCTCGCCACTACCTCGGTTGCAATGGCACTACTAAGTTTAGCAATATATTTTTAAATTGGTTAAAGAACTTGACTAAAAACACAGATATTACACAGTACACTATTTAACTGTCCCTGCAATTGCCTCATTACTATTAATAAACCCTAAGCAGTAACAAAGGGCTCTAAATGTGGTCTTGACAATGCACACCTAAAGTACGAACAGAGACACCATTCATGCACAAAATAGCACTGTTAGTACTCTGATACTTTACAGTTGTTGATAGAAACAGCCTCTCTGAGAACTAGGGTAGATTAGGGTAATATGAGCACCTTAAGCAAAAGTTGGAATATTTTCAAAAATAAATATGCTGGATCCAAAATTTTTGCAAATAAACAATTTTTAGGGATCCCTATTCATAATCTATTTAGATATTTGGGCACTTGACATTTTTTCGTATTACCCTGACCCCTTGGTAATATGAGCACTTTAAATTAGCTCAAAAAAATAGCATTAATTAAGTAAAAAAAGACCAACCTGCATAATAGAACTAATTGGAGAACTAAAAAACTTGGCAATAGAATGTTTAATGAAATCAACTGCAAAAAAAGTTTCTAGAGATAATGTTAATAAAATATAAACATTGGGTATAAGAAAATAGGTTGAAAGAATATGTTAAATCTCTCAAAAGGTTTTTAATTGAAGCAACCAATATTCATATTGCAGCAACAGAAACTCTACATGGATTAAATAAAAGGGATTGGTTATAAATCTACTGAAGGAAACTCATAATTTAATGACAATGATTGAAAATAGAAAAAAAAAATGAGATAAAGAAATCTACTGTTTGCAGAAACAATGATAAAATATTAGATTGCCCAACATTTGTAAATCAAAATGTTGAAGATATATGGGAGACAGCTAAAAGAAATAAACTTAGCTCTAGATGTTTGAATTTTAATTACTGGTCAAAAGAATGCAGAAACTCCAGAACTTATGGAATTGATGGCTGAACATACAGTAACAATTGTTTGCTTTACAAGAAGAGTCTTGTGAAGCAAACAACTGTGACTGTATATTCATATTGTTAAAAAAAGACATGGTAATAAAAAACTATTTTTTGTTGGATATCTAACTTTATTCAAATACATGTTATGAATTGGGAAATCTGTTCAAACAGTGCCAGTTATTCTTTGTAATGGAAATTAAAAAGTTGTAGTCAACTTGATGATGGAAGTACAAAGTCGTATTTGAATTCTGGTGCAGCTGCTGAGTTGTCACTGAAAGTTGAAACAGAAAAAGTAACCATTAATATGATAAACCAAAAAGTTAATTTGTTTGAAACAACGCCAACAGGATTGTTCCATTTAATGACTCCAGCTGAAGTCATTGAATGCAAAAATGACAATTAAAATGGAAACTTAAAAGCAGTTAATTGGTCAAAAAAGTCAAAAACATTGAACTGCCAAACATTAGACCAAAACCAAAAATTGATATTCTATTTGGTGAGGATTATATTGAATTACACTTTGCAATAAAGGAAGCTAATGAAATCAGTTGCTTGGCTCACATACTTTGGATGGACATGTATTGGTCATTCCGGAAGATATCTTCAAACCCACTTTATGAAATTAATAACAAGAAGAAATAAAATAGAAGATGCTATCAACATAATTAAAAAGTTACGGGAAAGTGAAGGCTATGAAGAGATACAATTTAAAAATATAATAACAAACCCGAAAGACATTACCCCAAGTAACAAGTTTGCTAAAAACAAATATGAGTTAAAATCACCATGGATAGAAAATAGGCAGTTGGATGATAATTATACAAGGGCATTAAATCGACTAAGAAACACAGAAAAACGTTTAATGAAAAACAAGTCTTGGAGATGAGTATAATAATACTATTATGCAGTATCAAGAAAAAGGAAATTTGGAAAAGTCTCTATCTTGATAAATCAACTACAAATGTTACAGTTGTGTTTAATGGATCTGCAAAATACAATGGTAACTAATGACGTTATTTATCGAGGTTCAAAACTTTAACAAAACTATTCAACAATTTTACTTTGACTTTGAAAATATCCTGTCGAAATAGCTGGTGATATAGCAGAAATGAATTTGAGAACCAGAATGCATAAAGCTGATCAAATATATGAATGAATTTTATGGAAAAATTTAACTGTAGACACTTATGTATTCCAATTTAATCAACTAGTATTTGAGATCTACTTATAGCCTTTCATGCACAATTTCTAACACAAGAACATGCAAAAGAAAACACAAACACAAGTTCCCTTCGGCTTCTGAAGATGTTCTTAAAACAACTTATATGGATGATACAATATTTTCTGTAGTTGATGAAAAGATAGGAGTTCAATTATACAAAGAACTCAAGTTACAATTGAATTCCTCCAGATACACCTAGAAAAAATTGGCCATATGATAGAGTTATAGAAGTATTTTGCACTAAAATTTTGATAAAAAGAAAAAGTTTAACACAACTAAATTAAAGTTTGTAAAAAAGAGTGAAGTTTAGCAGGACAATAAACGAGGTTACTACTTTGTAAGGACAAAGATACTTTTAATTATATCATCATAAAACCTAACAATATAATGAATAAATTTGACTAATTTGAAGGCTCTTTGAAATCTACATTAAAAATTTAACATGTGTTAAATGTTGAACTGCATTATTACATGTTACATATAATTTAACTAAAGTTTTTGCAATCAAAAACATTAAACTGTCAACTGTTCAAAACAATGATTTTCAAGCAAAAGTCAAGGCTTTATTTGGATAAGAAATTAAGTTTTATCTTTATGTTAAGATTTGATAGAATTTAAGATTTATCTGTCTTTAATAATCCTTGAAAGATAAAAAATTTTATTCAAATTTAAGGCAGATTTAGTCAATTAACTAGATTTAGATTTCTAAAAGATAAACTAGAGGCAGTGAAGCTTTTAAAAGTAGTTGTTGAGAATCTGAGCAGAAAAGATTCAGAATGTTGGAGGGGGAGGGGTGCAACAACATTTTCAATGCAAATTTTGAGCTTGTCTAAAAGAAAGATGACCTCATGAGAACCAGGTTAAATATGACAACAGTGTTCCGTACATGATTGAATTAGAGATTTATAGAGGTAATCTTGCTTGCTTAATACCAGGAGGAGTTGGAGGAGGGAGCAAATAAAAGGATGATGGAGGGGAGGTCTTAATAAAAGGGTATATAGGAACTTTTTACAGAACACAAAGAAAACAATTTACTTCTGGTGTGGCTAGCAAAATTTCTAGTTTAATTAAACAAATTATCTTACATGTTTTCAGGTCACGCATTTGTTATTTTTAACTTTATATGTCATTTTGCTTATTCATCTAATATTAAAAGTATTGGAGTATACATAAGATTATTTTATTATTTTTATCAAATAAAACTTATCTTACATTTAATGATAATAGATTACTATGATAAAAAAGAGATCATATAAAAAAAAAGGTATAATAAAAACTTATATTAACAAAAACCTCACCAACACTGATAATATTTGCACCATATGCATGAAGATAAAATGAAAGTATAACATGATTGCTTGGTGTTGGAGTTGTTTGAGTGTAGGTCAGTGTAGGATTTCCATTATATAACTTTTCATAATAAATATATCAATTACCACCTGAAGCCTGAGAAGGACCTGTTTTAGAACCAGGTATTTCATATTGGTTAAGTACCCAAGAAGGGCTAGTAGACAAACCACAAATACCATTTTCAAAGTCACATTGAAATATGGTCTGCAGAGTATCTATGGAATAAAAAGTACAATACTTATATTCCAAATAAAATAAATAAAATCTCTATAAAAATTAACAAATAATGCAACATATATATATATATATATATATATATATATATATATATATATATATATATATATATATATATATATATATATATATATATATATATGTATATATATATATATATATATATATATATATATATATATATATATATATATATATATATATATATATATATATATATATATATATATATATATATATATACATATACATATATATATATAAGTCAAAATTTTTTAGCTCCCTGGATATTTTCCCATTCTTTTCATCATAAAATATAAGAAAACTCATACTTTAAGATTTAGAAACAACAGTAAGCCTTGTCACCACAAAGAAAACGTTATTCATATCATTCAAAATTGAAAATACTACGAAAAAACTGTAACATTGAAAATATAACAAATTTTTTTTTCAAAATTTAGAAAAACTGTTGATATGTTCATTTAAACAATGAACATAATGAAAAAAGTTCAGTAAGGTTATTTTATAAGATTTAAATATGCTAAATTAGTACTGATGTCTCTAAGAAAAAAACAGTTTTTAAATGTTTCCCAGGGTTCCTTTTTTAAAATCTGGTACTTTGTGTCTGTGTTTTTCAATAACCTGTAACAAATATTGTTTCTATATTTCATCTTTAGTTAAAGTGTTTGCAAAGTCTGTGATGAGTTTCATGGCTCTTTCAGCAAGATTATTAACAACTTTTGCATTACAAATAAACATTGCTGCTTCTTGAAAATCACAACTTATTTCCCACTGTGCTAGCGGCAAGTGTAACCAGGCAGTTTCAATTTTGAGTAGGTTGAACAGGAGCCAAGATTTCTTGCCAATCAAATGTACTAATTTTGTGGATGAAACCAACTGCGGAAAAACTGGTACTCCTTTATCCAGTGGCATGTCTTTCTTTACTTTGATAAGTTGTCTGGCTATTTGTTTCTTTTCCAATTCTGGCACCAAACTTGAAAAAAGAGAAAAAGTAATAATTTCTTTGGTCAGATACCACAGATGCTGTTCAGTGCAAGAATGGTTGCTTCACCAACCTCTGGGTCAGTTTTCTTTAACATGTGAAGATCATGGTATAACTGGAGATCATTTGATGATCTCCAGTTATACCATGATCGGCTGCAAAAGGGGTGGCTAGCCATGCTTTTACGTAGAAGAGTGCATTAAATATGCAAATACGACGCAGTTTCTCCATTTTATCTTGATCATAATTCAGCTGGTTACCAAAGGCATACATCTTAGCACTATATATAACAGTTGCCATCCAGCGGGCATGGTTTGCACCAGGTTTTAGCCAGTGCACCCCGCAAGGAGGCATTTCTCCCAAAAGTATTAGCATGAGTTCTGCACATTCTCTGTAATCATCACGAGGCAAGCTGTCACCGTCAACTGAAGTCAACATTTGTTGCAAAAAATTAACAATTTTGTCTTTCTGCTGTTTAAGACAACGATCAGTGATATGTAAAATTTTAAATTTTGATCGATCTTCAATGGTTTCCCAAGATTTCTTAAATTCTTTGAACTCAGGAGTGTCAGGACTGGATGACGGACCAAAAATCTTTTGCCAGGCAGAACATAAAATTCTTTCAATTACATGATGTCAACAAGTAAAATAGAAAAGCTTCTTGTCTAGCAATGATTTCAACTGTACGCATGCACCATTTTTCCACCCAGAATTTGATGCTGTGGTATCAAAAACTAGTCCAACAATTGACTGTTCTACCTTCCACCAAACCACAAGAGAATGGCTGGTGTTAGCCATAGTTGCACCAGTTCCATTAGAGATTACTGGAAACCCAAGTAGTTTACCTTCTTTACAGTTTGAAATTCCAGCTATAAGAACACCTAGCTGTTCAGCATCCTCTGGAACAATTTTTCCATTCCAATGTAATGTAACATACTTTGGGGAAATAAATATAGTTTTAATTTCATCCCCATATTTTGTTCGAAGTATTTTAGCCGCTGTTCTGCTGCTTGTTTTTGATAAAGTCACAAACTGCAAATCAGCACTACCCTCTGAAATTATAGCTGCCATGAAAGCTGTTCTTTTACCAGCTGATAAATTTAAGTAATCTGCCATTGCTGAAATTTTTTCACTTTTGAATGGATTGCGTGGAAGAGCCAGTGTAATTACTCTGTTTTTATCAGGTTGGATATTTTTCGGTTTTGTAGCAGATTTATGTGAGTTTTCAAAATCTTCATCTTCAGAATTGTCTGAACTGCTTGTAACTGTGACACTAGAGTCATCTGCAGATTGTAAGTCTACTTCAGGACGTATAGTTTCAGGTTTTGTGCTTGTTGTTGCTGAAAAACTTTGTATTTTTTTTTCTTCAACCATTCTTCTTGTCATTTCAATTCTCTTTCTCTCTGCATTTTCTGTGTAATTTTCCTTTTGTATGCTTGGTCTTCTGATCCCAAAATAACTCGCTTCTGATCTCTAACTGCAATAAGAAATTCAATATCTTCTTTTTTCTGCTCACTATCAAAATGTCGATCAGTTTCTATTTTGTTTTGAGCATCTTGGTAAGCAATATAAAAATAATTTTTTAGATCATCAACAAACAGTTTTTCTTTAGCTTCATTAGATTGACATCCTTTCTTCTTTTGAAGTGTTCTATAAGTATCATACAAATCCAAAATTTTTGCTTTAATCTTTGCGTTGAACTGCAATTCCAGCTTTATCCCATTGATTTTGAATTTCTGAAACAACCGTGTTTACTATAGCACCATTACAGTTGACATGTTTAGCATGTTTCATGGGTCCATTTTTTGTAAAGAAAAAGAAACGCAGGATATCTCCCTTTGATGGAATTCTTGATGGTAACAATTGAGTAAATGGTTTTTCTAATAACCAAATATCAATGTCTTTTCTTAAAACCAGTCTATCCATAATTAGGTTAAAGCAATGAGTAGCGTCCAAGTAAAAAAGTGCAATACTCAGGCTTGGTCAGGAAGCGGGAGTGATCACTCTCAAATACTGACCACGGAAATATGTACGAAACAAAAAAATTTTGTTTTACGGACATACATGGAAACATAAAAAACTTGAATGTTCTCAAAACATCTTGGTGTGAAAGATTAAAAAGAATATTTGCGAACACTAAAAACCCGCTAAATTAACGAATGAACTAATTCTATTAGTTCAAAAAATATGCTGACTAAGCGAAATAAAGTTCTAGAGTATTCTGTTGAAATGTTTTAGAAACTGTATTATTCACGATTTGTTTACATTTTGAGATTTCTAGCATAAATTGTTTCAAGAATATATATTATTTGTTTACAAAAATAAATGTTTTAAATATATATTAATTAAATTGTCAAAATTTTAAAAGCTTATTATTAATTATAGATTTTATTAGTATATTCTTATTTTTAATTTATTAAGTATGTATTCCTCATGTAAATGTAATTTTGTGTATCTATTTTTTATCGTAATGTATCTTTTAAAGCAATTTTTATGATTTAAATTAAGACTTACAAAAATAATTGCGTTTTCAATGAAGTTATAATCTTAAAGTTAATCAAACTAATTATGTAACAAACATATAAGAAGTTTCTGGTTACTAAACACAACCAATGCACACAAAGTAACTCATGGATGAACAAGTACCGCGTCTGAGGTCACAACAGAACACAAATATATATATATATAGCAAATAATTAGATATAAAGAAAAGTTTCTAGATATTGGTTTACTAACTCTAATTATTTTCGCTTAAGTTGCCATTCTTAAAACTCGTTATACTTTTTTCTGCTTTAAATACTAATTAAAATTAAAAAGCCCACTCTCTAAACATCATCAGCATTATTGTGAAGCAGTTTCTTTCCTCGTCATAAAGTATTTTTAACCTTTTTAACTGATTTTTATCTTGTTAACTTAATTTCTATAGTAATTCAATGATTTAATTATTTCATTTGTTTATTTTACTAGGAAGAATTGCTTCAAATATGTTAAACTTTTCAAACTACGCGAAACATAAAATAGGTATTAAAAAAATTTATTCTTTTATTTATAAAATAATTTAGCTTAAATAAAACTAAAACTTGCAAACTTTGTTTAATAAAGAATATTTTCTATTTAAACAATCGTAAGATGTTACTTTATATAAAAAACATTGCTTAATTTTATTAAAAAAATTATAAAAGAGCGATGTTTCGAAAAATATTTGTTCTAAATCTAATTTATTTAGCTTTAAGTTTATCCTGTTTAAAGATAATTTATTTGCCTAATTTTTTTTTTTTGTAATTGTCTCTCATCGGTCAAATTAATCTTTTGCGCTTTTTTTTTTTTTTGCTTTTTAAAATGTTCTCAAAATGACTAAAAAATCTGGCCAGCTTTTCGCAATAAATATTATTTACGTCAGCAATTTGGTCAGCAATCGAGAGCGATCGCTACCGCAAGCCTGAATACTTAAAATTTAGTTTCATCTAATATCTTTGTTAATCTCTGATAATTTACCTTAAAATAAAAATAAATGATAGAATAAAAGAGATTTTAAGAAAGATATTATAAAAATAGATAATTAAAGAATAATATACATATTAAAATATTATTTATCAATTAAAAATTATTATTTATATGCTTTATTTATAAATTATTTATTTCTTAATTTATATTATATTCATATTATAATTATTTTGTATCACTTATGTAATAATTGCCAAAAATTTGTGTCAAATTTATGTAACGTATGTAAACATAACATATTGTAAATTTATGTAAAAAAAATTTCAAACTATTAATTTTTTTGGGGCTGGTGGCAAGGCTTAAACACTATTAAATTGCTTGAAATTTATTTACTTACTCTAAAATAGATAAAGGAATTGGAAAATCAACAGGGAGCAAGATTTTAAGAAAAATTTTCACTATACATTTCTAAAGCACCCTAATATATATATATATATATATATATATATATACATATATATATATATATAC